GCGGTCCCGTCGACGCGCGCGCCCGCGCTCCGACCGGACGCCCCGCGCCGCCGCGACGCGGAGGCGGCCTCGGCGTTCCCCACCAGGTACGGGAGGATCCTGAGGGCCCTCACGAGGCCGGGGATAAGCGGGCACCGGGGCGGCGGCACCTTCCTTGCCTCGCCGCGCATGGCGGCGGCGGCGGCGGTGTGCGGAGAGGCCGACGAGGAGGGCGTCTTGTCCGCCGATGACGACCCGGGGGAAGGGGTTCCCAGGGGCAGCATGCCCCCCGCACGGAGGAGCCGCAGCTCCCGCTGCTCTTGCTTGGAAGCGTTCAGAATGCGGCGGAACCCTTCTGTCGTCACGAAGTCTCTCCGGAAGTTTGTCTGTTTTTCGTGTTGGCGTCGATCGCGAGCAAGGGGTTGTGGTTTCATTACAAAAACAGGTGGTCCGTGGTAATAAGGGGGGGGGGGGGTGACGGAGAATGAACTCCGTATGAGCGCATTTGGGGGTTGAAGATCACAAGCAATGCGCGCCTGCGAAAAAGAATATCTTCTGCGCGGTACAGGTAGTGTTTCGTCCGACGAAATAGGGAGGTGGCAGAAAGGAAAATCTTTAAAAATGCAACAGCCGTCACAAACATGTCTTAGATATTCACGCGATTCGCTCAAGATTAAAACCCGTCTCATTTCAGGCAGGCAATGGGTTCTCATGCCAGCCGTGGCGCGGATGACTGGCAAACTCATGAAAAACGCGCGCAAGTTCAGCTCCCGTCAAGACAGGTCCAACAGGTACGGGTATCCGCACGTCAAAAATGCGGGCGCATGTGACGCACACCTAATTTACTTGTGTGTCCAACCCTGTGTGTGCAGCCCACGCAATAATCGCGCCAAACACCGAGGCCGGGAGGGGGCTTGTGTCAACACGCACAAGGAGGCGCACAGGAGCCACAAAAGCACACAAAGTGACAGCTGCTTCAACATAGAAAACCATGAGATTCTAGGGGTAGAGAAAAGCTGATCTGTCTGTCTGTTACCCACGAACGCTGTCGTGTTGTTGGTCATCACCTCCATGACAGCCAAGACCTCCGCCCTCGCCTCGTCGAAGATGTCGAACGCGGTCACATCCGTCGCGAGAATTTTCTCTCGGCATGCTCCCGATACGTTGACCTGAGGCGATTCCGCACACGGGCAACAACCATTCAACAAACATCTATGCATACGTCAACCGCACACGACGCTTTTGTCAAACATGTTAAGAAGTCCTCGAGCAAACCACCTCGTCACATTCTGGGTATCATAACACCCCTGTAGAACAAGCCTCAGGTGAGAATACAGGGCGAAACCCAAGGCCAAAAATCAAAAACGGTACAGCTAGCCTGCAGATTGCTCAAGGTATATATCGCCTTCCCGCTTCTAGAACCCCGTCCGCAAACGCCAGATTCGTTCGCGGTGGGCAGCTCCTACCTGGTCTCTGGCTCCTTCCTTGATGTACTGGTCCACGATGCGCATGGTGGCCGCCTGAGCACAACAACAAAAGCAAAGTGAGACGAGACAAATCACGAAACGAGCGAGAACACGGACAAGTAACAAGAAGGCACACAAGAAAAAAATAGTAAACCGTCGAGAACACGTAAACCATAACGAAAGTGTGTCAGGTGTGTGCAACACTGCGAAATGGATTGCAACCAACAATTAAGATACACTTCGTGCTCCCTTCAAGATGCTGATGGGGGTGAGTGTGGAGGGGGAAAAGGTCGCACAATCATGCCTACCAGAGAAAGGACAGGGAAAACGCGATCGGCGCCACATCGAACCTCCGCCCCTATTGGACAGTCTTCCGCCGACGCTAGCCGGGGCTCTTGGTGCTGCTCCATCGAGCGAGTACAAAATTGGCATGCACCACACCACAAGTAGCACACACATGCGTGCGTGCGTGTGAATGACTCGATTCGATGCTGGGGGTTGCTCCTCCTGGAAACCGTCAACACAAATTGGTCAGGCCTGACTACAAGACGGCCTCTCTGCTTTTTCTTTCCCGCACCTCCTTTCCAAAGCTTTCTGATTTTCTTCTGCCATTACGTCAACGACGAAACCCCTTGGGAAAAAAACAAGACCACGCACCACCCAACAAACCAACCAACCATCGAAAACACAAACGCGCAGCATCTCGCCCCGCCCCCCGAGATCAGAATCGGCTTGCAAGTCACCCGCAATCATCTCCACAACGTACCCAATCAACGCAGGCATCGAGAACGCTACGCTCGGAACGGCACTATTTGGAACGGTGCTGCGATACCCCCCCCTCCCTTGATGTACCTACCTGTCTCTCGAAGAAGCCGGCCACCTCTTCCCGGTCTAGCGAGTCCAGGTAGAAGTCTACCAGCTCCTGGGCCACCTTGGTCTTGATGTACCGCCGGAACTCGTCCCGCAGCTGATCCACGGAAAGCTGTTCCGCCAGGCTGGCCTTCAGCTGAAGGTTGCCAAAAAAAAAGGGGCCAGAGGTGAATGAAGAGGCACGTTTCATTATCCTGGGACCACACTCCGTCTTGGCCCGACCGTAAGTCATGGCGATACATGCAGCCACGAACACCGACAACAACCCCAACAACAATGCACCTGACCTGACCCCCTCAAAACCCCAACAACACTACAGCACACGGAACAGCACCGACGACCACGACGACGGCGACAACAACGAAGACAGCAACATCAGGTGCGCCGCACCTGCGCCGGCGAAGGAAGCTGAGCAAACCCCTTGGTGTAGGACCAGAGGTACTCGTCATTTCCCACAATCTTCATCATGAACGGCTCGCGAATGGATCCCCACAGCAGGATATATGTCGTCAGCAACGGATCTGGGGCATGATGGGCAACGCGTCAATTCGTGGAGACCGGTAGGGGGGGGGGGGGGGGGGGGGGATTTTGGGCCCCCCCCCCCCAAAACCCCCGGGGGGTTAAAAAGGAAAGGGGGGGGGGGGAAAGGGAAAAAATTTTTTGGGGGGGGAATCTCGGGGGTTCCCCCCCCCCCCTAAAGCCCGGAAAAAGCGCCCCCAACAAAAGTGAAAAAAGGCCCCCCTTTGGGGGGGGCCCCCAAAAAGGGTTGGGGGAAAGGGAAAAAACCCCCCTGGGGGGAAAATTCCCACCCCCCGGGGGGGGGAAACAACCCTCCCTGGGGTTTTAGGGAAACCCAACCCCCCCCCCTTTATTGAAATTCCTTCTCCAGGAAAAAAAGGCAATGGTTTTCCCCCCCCCCCCCCCTTTCCCCCAAAAAATCTTTTCCAAAAAAAATTTTTTTTTGTTTCTTAAATTTTTCCTCCCGGGAAAACCTCTCCCCCGGGGGGGGGAGAAAAACTTTGGCCCCTCGAAAAACCCCGGGGGTGGGAAACGCTCAACGGGGCCCCCCCAACCAAGGGT